TGTTCGACATCCCAACAGTTTCTGTGGCATTTTTCCCAAGCAGGAAACAAAACTTCACAGCTACACACTTTTCTTAAGTCTGCCATTACAAAAAAACAAGGTTCGAGCAAAACTGCTTTCATGAAAAAATTCACTGTGACCAGACAGAACCTTCCTAGGCGACGCCACTGGGCACACTAACTGAGCGTGAGTTGCTGGATGCTCAGATGCATACTACAAAAGCGCCTCTACTACACCCGGCACCATTCTGGTTTAGGGGGTATCCCTCGTCTTTCCTCATAGTTTTATGAGACTGGACGTCTGAGTTCAGGGCACTAACTCTAGGGGAAGGCTCTTATCTCTCTTCAGCTTCTGTTCCTCAGCTCCTTAGCACTCTTCCTGCTCCGTGGGATCAGTCTTCTCCCATCTCTGTTTGCTAACTGCTGTGCCTAATCCAGGCTTTTTAAGACACACCCTCCATGGACAAGACCTTGTTAACATAACAGAAAACTGTTCCCAAATGGAATTATATTAATAGGAATAAGGGTTAGAATTCCAGCACATATTTTGGAGGTGCACAGTTTAATTCATAATAGAGTATCTTCCCCCAAAAACCCCAAAACTCACTGCCCTTGAGTCAATGCCGACTCATAGTGACCCTGTAAGGCAGGGTAGAACTGCCCCTGTGGGTTTCTGAGACTGTAACTTTTTACTGGAGTAGAAAGCCCCTCTTTCTCCCTCGAGCAACTGTTCACTTTGAACTGTTGACCTTCCTATTAGCAGCCCAATGTGTAACCACTATTCCACCAGGGATCCTGTGATTGTAATGTTGATCAATTTAAATATAGTCCTTTCACTGAGACTAGTAGAGGATTCAAATAATTCCATACCAAAACTGTACCATAATATGTTTAATTAGCCATATTATGAGACATTAGTTTTTAAAATCATCTTCTTAAAGAATGTTATAATTTGTTTCTTTAGAGGTTAATATTTGTGTATATACATAAAAATTATGTTTCTAAGATAACTTTCCTAAATGGATGACTCTTGTATCAAAAGGGTGAAGATCATCTAAAAGTTTTTTTAATGATATTATAAAATTTTCTACAGGAAATATGAAAAATAAATCACCAACAGAATGAAAAAGACAGTTTTTCTGTACCCTCAGTAACCCTAGATAATTATTACCTACCAAATTGTTAGTCTAAGACATTCATATTTATACTCTGCATGCCTTTGAATGCAAGCAAGATTGAGAATTTCTTCCTTTCCAAAATGCGTATTTTTATCATTTGACCATTTTGATGGTATGCTAATTATTAGTGTGATTCTGTTTTTGCCTTTGGAGTAATAGTTCTAATGACATACAGTTCACATGCTAGTTTGGGACACCAGGAATGCAGAGGAGAACTGTTCGGTAGCGTTTCCAAGCCCCTCTTTCTTTAGAAACAGATTGCCAGGCTTGTCTTCCGCGGCACCTCCGGTTGTGTTTGAGCCTTTTGCCGTATCCGTGTGGAGTGTGCCACCCTGAGACTGTTTCTCTCTATACTGAAAGTAAGGCCTTTTAAAAGGAAGCCACTCTCCAAAGCCCGTAGTGAAAGCGATTGGGAGTTTCGATCCACCTGCGTGACAGTGAGGTAGCTACATAGATCATTTGGAATTCTTTTGAATGGTAGATTAGTCTGTTCCCCCCCATTTAAAAAGTTGATTCATTATGAACTTTATTCTTTAAGTAATCAGTACTATAATATTTATGTTTTTTTGTTCAAATTATT